AAATTTGAAGCTTGAAACCCAGAAGTCACCTTGTCCAGCTGCTGCATATCAGAGTCACCAGCAGATAACTTCTCATTTGGTTCCACATTCTACTAGGGTGTGACAGTCTTTAAATCAAGCTACCAGAGCAGCACATCTGGTTGATTGTGATAGAGCTAGATGCCACAAAGAACAATCTCAAGTAACAATTTAGAACTTAATCCTCCTATAAATACAGCTACAACTTGGAATTATAAGCAATTTATATGCACATTATTAATAGTTAAAACAATAATAACTGTATTAGCAGTCATTCACTGAAATAGTTGTGGTTGGGAATTTTAATTACAGTGTGATTAAGCTGCTACCATAATTTAGATTTTTATTTTTATTTTAACTGCCCAGCAATGAAACTTGACAATAAATATGTGAAATAATAGCCCTTGTGCATAATTCTTATTTCACAAGTGTTTCCTTTCTGTGAAACAAGGATAATATACAGATTTGAGACATTGTTTTTTACCCTGTTACTTTATATACAGAATCTATGACTTTATTTTTCCAGGAAATCATTTGAGTATCCTCACCACTGTCCTTGTATATACTTCCATACATTGTCATATACATAACATGTATACACAATAGGACAAAATTTAAACTCACACGATGTTGTTGCTTATAATTTAATGGACATATATGTCTCCACATAAGTAATTTCTTTTTAAATGAATTATAAGCTCTGTTTCTACCTTCCCTGCACCACCAGATAATTATGGTTCCAGTGTCTGATGACATCAGGATAAATAGGCTATGTGGCTTCTAAGATGACAGATTGAAGGAAGACTAGAGAGTTGAAAACTTTCAATCAAAACATGTTCTCAGATACTCAGTACTTTGCCCTTAAATGTGGGGAGAGGCTTGTGTGGAAAATAGGGCTGACACCTGATGCCCTTCTTCTTTGACTGTTGGTACATCTGCTATAATTTGCTGTTATGATCTCTAGGTGGTATGTCTCAGAGAAAAAATCAGTGCCTGTCAGTATGGTACATTGACTGAACCCCAGGTTTTGATGCTCCTTAGTCTGTGGAACACCAGAGATCCATCTGTGAGACTGTCTGGGTTCTGACCCTCAATTTCAGTTCACATAACCTCTTCCATGGGACATTTCTTATATAAGGCATTCATACAGAATATTCATTATCTCCTTTAATACACTCATGCATCTTCAGATGTTTTGTCTGCACTACAGAGAACGTACTAACCACGGCCTTCCATCTGCCCAATACAGCTACACCACATATTTTATTGCTTATATGATATTTTTTTTCTGAAACGATGTTTATTTTATGTAATTTCAACCAAAACTAAACAAACAAAAACCCATGTTTCAAAAATACTGGGTGGTCGTTACACACATGCTATTGATCCTCTGTATTTTTAGGAAGGAAGATTTAAGGCCATAAAATACAGAAAACTAGTTGGGATAAAAGATAATTGAGAACAAAACCAGTAAAGCAGCATATAGACAAAAGCCATTTAAAATAAGGTGAGGAAACTACATCTACAAGCACAATATGCCAGCTGCTTGCTTTGTGAATGTTTTATTGACACAGTGGTCTCCAGTGCTGTTTGGCCAGGAACGTAACTGACATCATTTTCTTTGGGGGCTGTGCTGTGCATCACAAGACACTGAGAAGGATCTCTTTCGGCCTCTGCCCACTAGACACAAGCAGCAACCATCTTTAAAGTGACAAACAAGAATGCCTGTGGACATCGGCAATTGTCTACGAGGATGCGGTAGAAGTGGCTGAGAACCACTGGTTCAAACGATGCACTTCCGTGCTGCAAAGGTCACATGAAAACAGGCCCCCAAAGCTTGCAATACTGTCTGGCCCTTCAGAAAACAACACTTTGATATAAGCAAGGGCAAATGACATATGCCAGACTAAGACAATAAATTGCTAATGTGGTAATATGATCGTCTAGCTTCTACAAATGTCTCAAAAAACAACTCCAATTTTACAAAGGGAGACCGATAACAATGTGCAATTCACAGAAACAAAGCTCAAATGTCCCATAGGCCCGGGAGATGCTCAGCCTTGCTGGCAGTTAAGGTAGTGCAAATGGAAGGCATGTTTTCAGTCCTGGTTGACAAGAGTTGGGAAACGCACGCACATTTCGGTTGAGATAATCACGAGCTTTACACAAAAGCAATAAGGCACCAAGTACATTTCAAATCTACTATGTTAAGGCAAGGATTCAACTGGCAGGAATTCACCTGCTTTACAGAAGCAGAAACGCCAACACGCGGCAACACCTGTGTCCTGACCTCGTTGATGGTAAAGCTAACCTGAACAATGACTGCTGAAGAATGGGCTGCAAACACATGGCTCATACGAATTACTTGAGGCTAGTTAGCTCTGTAAATATCGACGAGAAAGGTGTCTATTGTGGATCACCACATGAGAAGAAGAGGCTGCACTACTGTGTGTGTATGCACAATCCCATTCAACACTCTCTCCACCCATAACCTGTCACCTAAACAGTGCAAGCATGGGTGTGCGTACCAACCAGAGTGAGAATGGAAGCCCAGCACCCACGGGCTACTAGCACCTAAGACTGTGTATTCAATGTCCTTTCTCTAACGGAATCACTGCGGTATATTCTAGCCTTCAGGCGCATAATAATACATACATTTGGGAGAGGACATTCAAGTCTTGAGAAAAGTATGTATACATGAACAGCGCATTAAAGAGCTTTCCTTCTAACACTGAAATCAGTACTACTATCTCCTTTTAAAAACTGCTTTAATTACTTTAATTAATTCCTATAAAATGTGCAAGTTCTTTTTAGAATAGTTAAAATTTTAGATTTATTCAATTAATATACCAGTGCAGATTAAAATTCAGTCACCATTTCTCCCTTTTCAAAAAGACTTGATGGGCTGGAGAGACGACTCAGTCAGTAAAGTACCTGCTGTGCAAGCGTGAGGACCTGAGTTCCAAGTTTCCCAAAGCCCACATAAAAAAGCCGGGTGATGTGGCGCCTGCTTTTAATGCCAACGCAAAGGATACAGGGCCCCATGGGTCCCTGGGCATCACTGGTCAGCCAGCTGAGCCTAATTGGTGAGCCTTAGCTCCTCATGAGGCCCTGTATCAAAAAACCAAAGTGGATGGCTCCTGAAGCAAGACATCTTAGGTGGACCTCCACACACGTGTGCACACAACACCCCCACTCACTACCTGAATTGTTATAAATCGTTCTGCAGTAGTCTGTCTACTCATTAGCAGTTTTACTTACCACATGCATTATTGTTCTACAGTGTGAGGCAGATAAAGTTCCCTAGGGCGACTATTTTCAAGTGGAAGTCTGTAAACAGGGACGTGATCTCCCTTCACAGCAGGCACTGTGAGGGGAGATTTGCTTTGTTACTCTGGTGTCTACTTACTAGCATGTCTACAAACACATCTGCACAAAGCACCACTTTGCTGGCTTCTGATGAGACTTGCTGCTCTAATCAGAATAGCCTCTATTAAGTACAGTGAGTTTGTAAATAGCTGACTTCATTTTGTAAAAATGCTTGCTCCCTTCACAGCTGTGAGTGCTGTCCTTGTGTCCTGAAGAGGTAGAAGATTTTTTAGCTGTCACATGATTCAGATTTAGAGGAATTAGTGTAGTTCCTTAAGCAGGTTCTCCTTGATTCTAACTTCATTCAGGAAAACAATACTTTTCCAGGATTTAAGATATATTGTAAAAAGCAGGATATAAAAATACACTATCAAATGCTGTAAGTAAACATCCTACATCTTACTTAATCAAAAGTGAATATATACTTTAATATGGTTAAGAAAATACTTTGGAAAATAATGCTTCTCTATGTCAGACATACTATAAAAGCTGAATATATATAAACACTCTACCTTATTGAAACTGAATATATGTGTAAAAATATTTTTCAACGATAATTTTCCAAGAGTTAGGTATACTGTAAAGAGCTGAGTACGCATTTTCAATGTACACATTTCTTATTCTGCAAGTTCGGGGAAAGGGCAGTTCATGGCTTTATGAAGCCACAACGTCACTGACAATGTGTTCCCACGACAGTCTCAGCCTCACAACCTTTTGATTGTAGCACAAATCAGGCACCGCCTGTCAGTAGCAATGTGCTCCCTGCAGCTGACAAGACCAATTCCCGTGTCTCGTTACTAGAGCCCACTGCGGACTCCTGCTCAGACCCTCTTATCACCCAGGAGACTAAGCGCGCAGTAGGAGGACCAGACTGTAAGTGGTTGGCAGCATCACAGAGGGGATTGGTAACGCCTGTAGACAGGCAAAACCTACAACCTCTGCTTGTGCAACCAGCCTATTTCATTTCGATTTCATCTTCATCTCATACACAACTGTGGCATCGAAATCTCCCCACCTCCCATTTAAACTGAACCTGCTGCCTGGCAGAAGGGCAAAGTATGAATGAAAACTTTTGGTCTGTCTTCAAAAGGGTTCTGTAACAGTCAATGTGAAATGCCCCTCCAACCGCAGGACATGGAAGGCTTTCCTTTTATAAGGCTGCTATAGAAAAGTTCACAATTTTGAAAATAACATGAAAAGCAGCTATCTTTGGCATTTTTCCCCCCTGGAGACATTCTTCAAGCTATCCTCAAACTTGTGATCCTCCTGCCTTTGGTTCCAGGTGCTTCTATTAATGGCATGCACCACCCTGTCCTGCTGAATTTGGCTATCCCACAAACTAGACACATCCTCACAGTACAAAGATATATGATGTCAACAATGCTAATTTATAAGAGAATTTAAAAGTCAGTAAGCAATTTACCCTGCCCGAACTCTGGGGTAGGTGAGGGTGAATAAAAAGTAGACGTGGTTAAGTTCTTCCCCACACTTCCTCAGTTGAAGTTCATTTTATAGAATCAATTCAAAAGTATTTCATAAAATTTGAGATGAACGAAAAATGTGCTGCATTTTTTTTCTAACACAAGTGTGGCCTTAAGTATGAAACATCCCATTTGTAGTGACTATGAATCTTTCCTCTGAGGGCTAACAGCTAATTTCTCTGATGTTACTGCCTCCTCAGTTTGTCCCTGGTGTGAATTCCCTGAGGCATATCTGGTTCTGGGTCACTGGAAGAACATTCCTACTTTCTTTACGTTCATGAACTTTCCAATTTTTCATAAACTAAAGCCTTGAGATAAATTTTGGAACAATTAAGTCACCTCCGATTTCTGTAATTGTAAGGTTTCTCACTGATGACAAGTGTCCAATCATTTGTGGCCCTACTTGGTCTCTGAGTATGGATTCTAGTGCTAATGAGAAACCCTTTGATGTTGCTTTCCCAATTTGTTAGCCATCATAAGAATTTGTAACTGTATGAACTTTCTGATGGCAGTGTTTTTTCATTCACTCCTCCTCTGTCCCGTATGAATTCTCTGATGCTGGGTAAGGTGAGAGCCACGAATGAAGGCTTTCCCACATTGCTTACACTTATAGGGCTTCTCACCAGTATGGATTTTCTGGTGTCGACTGAGCTCAGAGCCACGGCCAAAGGTCTTCCCACATTCCTTACACTCATAGGGCTTTTCACCGCTGTGGCTTCTTTCATGATGTGTTAGCTCTGATCTTCGAATGAAAGCCTTCCCACACTCCTTACATTTGTGGGGCCTATCACCAGTGTGAACTTTCTGATGTCTAAGGAGCTCTGTGGTACAAGTAAAGGACTTTCCACACTCCTTACATTTATAGGGTTTCTCCCCAGTTGGGCTCTCTGATGTCGGACAAGCTCTGTGCCACGACGAAAGCCTTTGCCACACTCCTTACATTTATAGGGCTTCTCGCCGGTATGAACGCTCTGATGTCGAAGCAGATGTGAATCAGAGATAAAGCCTTTCCCACACTCTTTACACTTGTGGGGCTTCTCCCCAGTGTGAACCATCTGATGGAGGGTGAGCTGTGAGGCACAGCTGTACACTTTGTCACAGTCCTTACACTCATAGCGTCTCGCCCCAGCGTGAGTCAGCTGATGGAGACTAAGCTGCGTGTCGTAACGAAAGGCCTTCCCGCACTCCTTACACATATGCGGCTTCTCACCAGTGTGGATTCGCTGGTGACGAAGAAGATGTGAGGGGCGGGTGAAGGCTTTCCCACACTCCTTACATTCAAAGCACTTCTCGTCAGTATGAACTCTGTGGTGAAGACTAAGCTGGGCAATAGACGGAAAAGCCTTCCCACACTCCTTACACTTGTAGGGCTTCTCGCCTATATGCAACTTTTGATGGTGACTGAGCTGTGAGGTAGAATGGAAACCTTTCCCACATTCCTTACACTTATGAGGTTTCTCACTACTGTGAGTACTCTGAGGTTTCAAAACATCAGAACCACAAACAAGGACACTTTTCTTATTTTCATTGCCTTTTTTGCTGTCATGAAGTCTCTGATGCATGATTAAGTCTGACCTACAGTTAAAGACTTTCCCACACTGTACACACTCAATGCTTTTTTCCTTATTGTGAATTTGCTCATGTTCAATGAGACATGACTGGCACATGAATGTTTTCTTACATTTCTTGCATTCACAGGGTTTTTCTCTAGGGTGAGCATCTTTGTGGACTGTGCACTGGATGGAACTGGGCCTCTCGACAGAGGTCACTACAGCTTGTCTCAAATGTCCCTCCTGAGGGTCTTGCTGCCTCTCCAGCCGGCCTGTGGCTTGTCTATTACCTCTGGCCCTGCTGTCCTCAATGTTGGGGTGTGTATGTTTTTTTGCCATCTTTTGTTGCCATGATTTAATTTTGTAGCCATCCTTTGGAAGTAAATTCTTGCCTTCTCTTCCAGACACCCAATCGGGAAGCCATTCTTTTGTCTCATTCCTCATAACCATCCAGGGCTCCTTCCCCTGCTCTAAAAGGGAGATCACTCTTGGCTTAGTGTCAGCAAGACCTAGCGAAAGCAGGTTGCTATAATTCTCCAACATTACATCCTGGTACAAACTTCTGTGGGAACGGTGCAAGCACTCCCACTCCTCTCGAGAGAAGTAAATGACCACATCTTTGAAGTCCAAGCCCTTGGTCATGTCTTTCGATGTAAAACTCTTCTTTCCTCCTCCTCTGGCTTCTGGAGAATGTCTCCAAAACATTTCCTCCTCCAGCACCCACGGCTCCTCTTCTTGGTCCAACTTGAAGATGACATCTGGCTTGGTGGCTTGGTAACCTACTGTCACTAGGTTGCTATAGGTCTCTAGCATCACATCTCGGTACAAGTTCCTCTGGGCAGGCTTCATTTGCTGCCATTCCTCCTGGGTGAGGTCCACAGCCACATCCTTGAATGTCACTGTTTTATAAGGTCTGGTCACGTCCTCTTCCTCCTGGCAAAGTGCAGAGTCCTTGGAACACCAAGCTCGTAACAGTCAAGCTGGACAGATGAGTTAACGGGCTCAGCTGATACTATTCTCATGAGAAACGGGGAAGGTCGCCCGGCCGGAGCACCCCGCGCCCCCCGAGAGCCCGCGCCCAGTCGGCAGCCCACGGCCGGCGCGAACCGGATCACTCGGGCCGCTTCCTCGCTGCCCGCCGAGGGCTCCCCGCAGCGCCGCCAGCCAGACACCCCTGAAACGCAACCTCGGAGACGCTGCGTGCAGGAGACCCACAGGCAGGCGAGTCCATGGACTCGAGCGGCGGCGGCGGCGCCTGCTTATATGATATTTATGAGAAGTATCTATACTTATATCAGAAAACTTTTAAAAGTTTGAAAAGAAAGGCGCCTTTGCCCTGAGCATCTCCTAAATCCAAAATAGTTTGCAATATATTCCTGGTTGCCCAAGATTAAAGTGTTGTTAAGTTAAAGGCATGTGCAGTTTTATATCAACAAAAGGCATAGGAAGCTATCAGAATTTGTTTTTCTCCAATTTAAGCAACAGAGTCAAAGGGTATATCTGGCTCACTGCCTCTCCTCTCGAAGAGCAATACACAATAGGCACTTCATAAGGATTGCCCGATGAGTAATGACAGTGCCTTATCATTTTCTGGAATTGCCCGTGAAGGCTGCAGGGCTCCCATTCCTCAAAGCTGGAGAACATCACTGTGTCACCGTGCTCTTCCAGCCTGAAAGCCATTCTCCATGGATTATTTCTCTATTTCCTGAAGTTGAATACACATCAACAGCCTTAGTTCAAATATCTTCAGCTGCAGGGGCTGATCCTTGCTACCAGCCACATATAGATTATTTACAGATATTTGCACTTTCAGAGTTTGACATTTTCTATGTAGATAACTTAATATTCTAATTCAGACTTGGATACTTCCAGGAAGCTATCTGCTAAGTGAAGAAGTCCTTGACTGACAGAGGCCATCAATAGTGATGGAGAAGCATTAATTCCCACCTTCCACACCTCAGTAATCCTTCCAAAACCTTTGATAAATCCACAGTTCTGGGAACCATAGATTCCATCTCCACATCTAAGAAGCCTTTCTAAGAACCATGTTTGTTACATTCCATTTATTTTTGCAGAAGAAATGGTTTCATTCACAAGGCAAACCTGAATAGGAACAAGAAGGAAACTCACATCATTTGGAAGTCTAGAAGATGGACTTATGATATTAAAAGATTTTTCTGCAAAATGTGGTAAAAAATAAATGGTATTGCACTTTTTTGTTTATATTTATGAACTTGTTTAATGTTTAAAGGAAATAATGAATTTGCCTATGAGTCCTAGAGTGTGTTTATGTTCAGATATAATTTAGTAGTCAGATTTATCAAGAAAAATAAAGGAGTTGCTAGTTTTAGTATTGTTTAAGTCTTGAAAGCTCATAATACTTTTTTCCTAAATTCTTTTCTTTGTCATAACTGAAGCTAACCTGAAGCTAACTGTACCTGTACGTAACTCAAAATCCTGTTTAAAGAGTAGAAAAGCGATGAATGACTGTTTTCCAAATTAGCTTACCAATCATTCGTTAACTTTTTTGATAACCAAGAAGAAAGACCAAAACAATCTAGTTTACAGGAAAAACAAATAGGTTCATTTTCTGCATTAATAAAGCTCTCAGATATCAACACTTGGGAGATAATCAAATTTGAATAGAAGAAGTTGGAGGTGGAAATATTAAGAACTGAAGATATCACCTGCCTTCTCTCAGATCAAATGATTTCTTTAGTGCTTATGCTTTCTTTTGATCTGTCCTGCTCATCATTATTAAATGTTTCCCTGGAGGCTTCTCTTCATAACTGCTCATGCACAGTCCCACACACTTACTAGTGAAGCTCTAATTAGTCTACAGTTTCTTTACATTGTTTCCTAATTGCAACACAAAACTCTCACTGTACCTATTTCTTTTGTATCTACTGCTTCAGATTCCTTTGACAGAGGTCTGATTGACTACACTCTGGATAAATTGAATGCCACACAAATCAAGTCTTCCCTGTCATTCCGTCATTTGGCCTTGTTGAAGTCAATGAATCATGTGTGGTTGGAGTGATACAGTCATGATGTGTGTTTTGGGGGGGAAGAACAGATGGAGCAAAGCTGTCAAGAATGAATTCAGTGGGGGTACTGTGGAGATTGAGTGCTGTGAGTAGATGCTGGAATTGTGGAAGAAAACCACAAGTAGGGAAAGACTAAAAAGAAGAAGGAACACTTGCACCAACTTTAGTATTTTATCCAGTCCTATCATTTCTGCTGAACTACTTTACTACCTTTTTCTAAAGTAGGAAGAAATAGACTTCCTGATAAAATACTTGAAACAGGATCATTCAATATATTTGCATTTTAATTTGTAAAACACAATAGGATTTTTATTTAGTAGCAAAGTTTTTCTTAAATTATACTATGCTAGCATGAGTTTACATTCCATGTGCACAAAAATTGATAAATCTCTTGTGCAGTTGTAGAACATACCGTTGTTAGGTAGATAAAGTAGATATTATCCTACAAATGGTCACCCAATTTCAATGCCTCTAAAATAATGTATCCATTAGAATGGTACAAGAAGAACTCACCCTTATAATTTCATGTCTTCTTCTCTTTTCCCACTTCCTTTTAGAAATATCCTTAACTTTCCTCATCCTGTGGTGCTTTAATTGAAGGAAACCTATCCCTGGTTGCTCTGCACCAGGTACCATTGATTGCTTTTAGTTGACAAATGATGAAAATGTTCGTTATCCTTTCAGTCTGGGTGTGAAGCCCAGATGCACTATGTCACTGTGGAAAACTGCATATGAAATCAATAAACTTGAGGAAAATGGCTATAAAATCACAATTCTTTATGTCAAGAGAAAGCAAATTGCTTATGTTGCCCAGATAGTTTGGGATTTGTTGCCTGTTTCTATAAGAGAGATTTCCTTTTCCAATAACTTCAGGCTCAGGAATATAGTTAGTCACAATGAGCCTAAAAGTCAGAGGCATTAATCGTTATATATGTCCCTTTCCATTACTTCTTGCTTTATTTACGAAAATCATTTTCCTGGAGTGGTACTGTAAGTTGTGCAACGTGCTTTCTTGAGAAATTGAGGTTTAAAAATAGATCAAAATAAATCTACTGATGAAATAACATTTGAAAAATACCCTGAAGTAATCAATACATATTGGTTTTGATAACTGCTTCCCAGACTTTCTTAAAGTTTGGAATTTAGCTGTATTTACAAATCATTACATAATACTCTAATAATTTTCTGAAATATTACACTTTGGAGCATCACTCCTTTTGTTTTAGCTTCAGATGTATCTGATGGTCTCGACCATGTATCATTTGTTTATTTTATAGTAAATCTTAAGGAACATACGATACACAGCCTGAGAGCATGACTTGGGCTTCCTCAAATGGTCCTTCATCGCAAAATTTTCCAGAGACGAACAAATAAAGCTTGATTGAAGCTGTCATTATAAAATTGCTATGGATGAAAATGGGGATTTGTTCCATTAAAACATCAAATGTTAAATCTCTCAACTCAATAAGGCTTTAATCAATGTCGTTGTAGTGCCTCTCACGTGTCTCCATCTGCTATAAATATCTTCCTACTGAGATGTTCATTGCTCCAAACTCCTCCATATAGAGATTTTACAAATAGAATTTTAATTAAAACTCACAGCATAACCCTCATGAGTAAAGAGGCTTCTCTTCATGGCCTAAGAATGGAATCATAAACATTTTTATCAGAAGGCAGATCAATGCTCCTGATAACTCCATCTTGGTCTTCAGATTAGTCATACTTGTCAATTATGCTAATTATATTTTTAAATATCTATTAGACTAATAACAATTTATCTACATATTTTTGAAGATTAAACTAATTTTGAAAGAAATTTATTAGTTGCTGTAATTATAAGAGATCTTTAAGTCTGGACATAGCAGTCATAAACTAATAAGAAAGCAATAATAATTAAGATGATAGATTCATATTATTTCAATAAAAAACCTTTATTTTCTTGAGAGCTCAAATTCTGAACTTGGTATTAGATCCTCTTTTGTGTACTGTCCATAAAATTCTACTGTTAGGTATTATCACCTCCATTAGGCAGTCAAAGAATAAAAGAACAAAAAAAACCTAAAAATTTTGCCTAAGCCACCACAATTTTAGAAAAAAAAATTCCATTTAACAGTGTGTTTGTTATTTTTCCCTGTAGTTGAGGAAGGCAAGTACCATCAAAAAATTTAAAGTCTGAAATTATACAGCATAAAATGCATGTTGTTTTTTTTTGAGTTAAAGAAAATTGACAAGACCAATCTCAGATTCATGTGGAATAGAAGAACCCAGTCACCTTGCAAAGGAGAAGATACATGGGTAGTAGGAGTTGCCTATCACCGTCTTTGCAATCAGTCAGTGTTATAACTGAATCCTGTATCATCAGTACATCCATTCATAGTAAAATAGGATATGTAACTTAATAATAATTCATTTGGATAGTACCCAAAGTAAAATAAACATTATGAAACCATATTGTTATAAACAAAAGTATGGTGTTGTCTTTCTATTTCTGAAATAATTCTGACAGTAACATGAGTGTTGTCTTACACTCATATTTTATGCTTATATTCCAAATTTCTACTCCTTTGCAGGTTTCCTCATTCCTTTTTATTGTCTATATACTTAATCTCCCAATAACTAAGAGAAACCCCCCATCTTTATCTAAGAATACTTGATTCTTTTCATGCTAATTGTCATAATTTCAGTTTTTTGAGGATAGTGAGTGATCTATGACCAGTCTACTTCTTTGTTTAGTCTAATGTGTCACAGAGCAATTAGTTTTCTCATCCAAGGGCACTGTTATTATATTTTTACTTAGAACTTAATTTTGAAATATTTTAAAGTGTACAAGAAATATACAAAAAATGGGGGTTTTCTATGCCTATATTATTTTTCTTTAGTGCTATACCTATCATTACAGATACATATTTACTAAAACTAAGAAAT